AAATTGGGAAAACTCCTTTAAAAATTTAAAAAAATTTTTAAGTTGCCCTGTTAAAAAAAAAAAAAAAAAAAAAAAAAAAGCATTCATCTGATTATTTATGGAGGCTCTCTTGCCATTAGTAAAGAATGTTCTACAAAGTTACGAAAAATGCTGTCCAAATAGGCAGATGGCCCCTAGGTATCCTTCAGATAGCTTTCTGCATTCCCTCGATATATCCACAGAGATGCAGTATATTTATCCATTCTTCCACAATTTCCGTTTCTCTAGCAACCTTATTTCACATACATTATTGCTCATTTTTGTTCTATTCCTTTTTGAAAACTACCAATCTTGTGTCAAAATAAGAGTGCAAAAATAGTTCCTATATGCTAACAGTGCATTTCCAGACCCCTATATCTTCTTTCTGTCTGTCTGTTCTTAACACCCATCTGGCTGCACAAAGGCCTCCTATCAATTCAGGTAGCTATTCTCCTCCACTAATCGGTTAATCAGTTCTCCTTTTTCACCAGTTTCTTTCCCAAATTCAGTGTCATGCCAGTTCTTAACTTAGGTTGTCTTCCTCTCTTGTTTATCCATTCCCCTCTCTACATTTACTGTTCTTCAGTTCCGTTCTCAGCCTCTTCTCTCGGGCTGTTCCTTTAAATCTGCTTATGTGTCACTTTTTCATTTTTCAAATCTTTTCATCAGATATACCTGTCCCAAAGCTGTTCACTCTTTTCTCCTTTCCAGCACAACATTTCACAGTCCATTACTTCATTGTTCAGAATTATTTGGTATTGTTCCCAGTTTACTTTCTCTATTGAGTTATTTGATCTTTATCCTCAGCCAACAAAATAATGCAAAATAATCCCTACTCCAGCCAGAGAGTTAGTACCTAGCTCTCCTAAATTGATCAATTCATGGATTCCCTTACTGGAATTCATCGGTTTTACTCTTGGACTGTGCCCCACCCAGTTACTGAATCTGTCTACCTAATGACAAATTATTTAGAAGCACAAAAGTCGTTTTAGGCAAATGTAATTTAAATGTGGATTAAAAAAAAAATACATGCCAAGAACTTTAAAGGGCATAGAGCTTAAATCTTAGATTAACGAGATGGATAGAGTGATCTTTTGTAGCATCTTTTTAAAGCCGCGACTTAAAAGAAAAGGCTGCAGTTTTCTTTCTCTTTTCTAACTGAATCATAAGGCTGAGAAAATCTATTTAGTCTAATCTCTGGAAAATGGATTTCAGATGATTTGCATCATGCCGAGCATTTTGTTATGATAGAATTAATATTTACACTCATGGTTTTAAAACATGAACAATGCAGTATTATATAGTAATAAAAGTGGTGGTTTAAAAATATGATCAATTATGATTTATCCTTCTAATCCCTAAGTATTATAATTAGCAGGTGTTTTGCCATTAAGTTTGCCTTTTTAGTTTTTGGGGTTTTTTATTCCATGAAATTTTATTATGAAAATGCTTGCAGTGTGCAGGGCTATTATCAACAAAGCAGCAAGGTGTTAGTCTGTAAATACTTAATAAAAAATTCAATTTCTCACAATATTTGCAGATGTAGATGAGTGCAGCAATGAAGGAACTGTTGCCTGTGGAGATCATGCAAAATGTGAAAACGTGGATGGAGGGTTTAACTGCTCCTGTAAGGAAGGTTATCAACCATCCACAGGAAAATTGCAGTTTAAGCCAAATGATGGCACTTCCTGCCAAGGTACATGATATTATAAAGGTTTATGTGTTATTATAGAGCTACATCTTCTGAGAAACCCACCAGTGCCTCTTTATCTTCAGTTAGATTAATCAGCGTGACATGAAAAAGAGGCAAGGCAGTGGCATCTACATTTCCTGAGAATAGACTCATTTCATAAATGTATTTTTGCTAAACAGTGTGAAGAAATCCATTTGAAATAATGGTTACCTCCTCATAGTTGTCAGATCCATACTCCTCTCCATAAATTCGAGCTGTCTCTTAACTTCACCTGTTGCAAGTCCCAAAGAAAGGTACCAAACTCTCTACTTGAGTAAAACAAAAGCTCAGAGTCCAATCTAGTGCTGTAACTTTGGCCAAGATAAAGTCTTAGTAGCTGAAGTTTGAGAATGGAGTGCTGCCTCTTATGTGCATAAATTCAGTATGCTGGTGGTTTGGGGAATTACTTAGACAAGAGCTCTTACAATGAGTATATATTGAATATTGATTGAACCGCAATATATAATTAGTTTCTTTTTAATTTCTGCAGAAAATCCGAAGGCCAAGTGTGAGTTATACAAAGACTGTATAACTGAACATATTAATAGAACTTTAGCTGGAGTAAGTAGCATTGGTTTATAGATTAATTTCCAAATCCTTTAATTGTTTCTGTTTGAAACTGTTATTTCAATTATAATAGTTCTTAAGGAGCTTTTAACAAATGCTTGAAGCATACAATTGAACTTAAGCATGTTTACAGAAGTCTTTTTAATAATTTCAAATTATTTGAACTGGGTTGTATGTTCAAATCATGATAATAACTTGCTGGGAATCTGTGTGTTCTGTTTCCAGCAAAGTGAGTCACGATGCATGAAAAATTCAGAAGTGTGGTAATCACTCAACTGTTTCTGTAATTTCTAAAGTTACACACTGCTGCATTTACTGATGTGCAATTATTTGCTTGTTCAGAGTGAAAGGCAGAAAGATAGCTTACAAAAGTAATGTCAACAAGTGACAAAATAGAAAATGGAGCAATAGCATCCTGGTATGCTAGTATATTTACTCCTCAAAGCATAGTATGTAAAGTGGTACAGAATTTATAGACACAAAGACTCTGGACTCAAGATTTTTTTTCACCAGAAGCAGAGATTCCTGAAGCAAATTAAAAAAATATTAATGGATTCACTATTCATTAGTCTACAGCTATAGTATTGTCTAATTTAAAAGGATAAATGAAACATAAGCATAAATAAAAACCAATTGTGTATATTTGCATTTTATATTAAGCAGTTTGCTGAAGTTACGAGATTCAGAAAGATATTAAAGTGTTTTATCAACCTAGTGTAAGATATACATTGTATTAACATGCTTTCTATGTCAACCTGCAATGTAACACATGATATCAAATATATGCTTACCACATCTATGTGCAAAGACATGGTAAATGCCACAGCAGGATCTTAGAGTGAGGATTTTTTTTAAAATACATAGTCAAACTAAACTTAAATCAAAGTAATAAGTCAAAATACCTCAATTTTATGTAAATAAGTGTGTCAAATTTTAGCTTCCTTTTTAGCCTGTGTCTCGTTCTATTCAGCTGCAGTCAAATATGAAGCAAGACCCATAAAAGCTGTTCAGCAGCAGAGACTACAGATCTTACAAAATCAGGTGTTGCGGGGAGGGGGGATGGATAAAATCTCATTAGATTTCAGTATCGTGAAGTAAGAGTGTTTTTCTTATTCAGCCATGAGACTGAAACTTGCAATCTTAATTTTCATCTCACCCTCTCTAGTTTATTACTTTTTAAACTAATTGTTTTATGCAAGTGCATTTAGCAGTTCATAAACTGAAGCAGTGAAGTTGAAATAGGCAGTACAGTTTCACTGAACTACATGCTTTATAATCCTCATTTGAAAAAAACAACCACAAAATATACAAATACTGCCCATCTGTTCCCACCTTTTCAGCTAAAATTTAACAGAAACAGGGTAAACACGCCATATCACTGATATTTAATTATTTTTGCAAAATGTTTACTAGTTCATTTTAGAGCATTAGGATAAATAGTACTGAGCTGCAGTAGTAAAAAGTAAAAAAAAAAAAAAACAATAATAGCACATGACTTTTAATCATAGTTGCTTGTTAGGGTTATATCAGACGTGTAACACCATTACTTTATAAGTCAACCTGTTGATTTAAATAGTGCCTCTTTTTATGCACAAGCATCTTAAAAGCCAGTGTGTTAGTTCACAGAAATCAGTCATTTGCATTTGTTTACTTTCACTTGAAGAAATGTGACTTTACTTGTTTCATTAAGATGCGAGTTCTTTTATTTTTCAGATTAGTCATTTAAAAACACCCCTGGAGATGCTGCAAGAAATTAATAAAAATACTTTGCGACCACTTTTACCTGTAGATGTGATTTCATATGTTGAAGCGCTATCTTATTCATCACTTAATACCATGCATTACTCGGTTTCCGATAATGAAGCACTTCGTAATACAACCATTAACGTGAGTGGATCAAGCCTTAAAGCTGTGGGGTTTTTTTTCCTATTTTAGAAATAGCCTATGACTCTTCCACTTAAAAATATTCTTTTATTTACAGGTTTTGGTTAACACTGTGAACAATTTTTTACAAAAAGACAAAATTCCAGTCTGGGAAGCTCTTCCTGTAGAAAACCAAAGACGGAGCCTGACTAAGTTGATGCATACTGCAGAACAAGCGACGCTTTTCATGTCACAGAACTTCAAAAGGACAACACAGCTAGATGCTAATGCAAGTGACATAGGTAAAATAAAGAAAATTAATCTAAGGTATACTTTAGATGTGGATTACACTAAGGAGTTTTTCAGCACAATTATGAAGATTAGAAATGGTGTTATGTGACACACACAGGTGTTAATTTGTATGAGTTTCAAAACTAACACCCGACTTTCAGTGTAGGTATCATAATTTTCAAAGATTGAACATTTGAGCCCAGAGCCCAGAAAAAAACTTGACAGGCTGTGGGAAGTTGCCCTTTCAGATTCGCTTTCAATCTCTCGTTATAGTCACAGTGAATCTGGATTCATCTTACATGCACAAAATTATCCTATGCATCTTATATGCATAAAAACCACCAGTGGAAAGAAATTTGGATTTGATCTGTACAGTTTTTTTACTCTTCTTGATTCAGTGAAGGCGCTGTAAATGAACTTGAAATAAGGATTGTACCTAGTGAGTCAAATCTTGTGTGGCTTTATTTTCAGAGAAATTTCTCATTTTAAGAGGAATTTCAGAGGTGGAGAATTAGTTAGTCTCAGTTGCACCATTTTGCTCTCCTACCTTCTCCCTGTGTGCTGGTGTCTTCACACCAACTCCTACTGATTTTCCTGTGGTAATAGTTTTACGATTCCTTCAGTGGGAGTAGAATAAGGCTAATACCAACTGCTTTTGAAAATCCTAATAAAGCACTGCTGATTCCTTTGGTAATGGCCAATCTTTCATATTTGTTTTTCTGAATGTACCCAAACTGTATGTGACCTGATTTCTTATTTTAGATTCAGTACGGTCCTTCAGTGCTTCTTACTGGTTTGCCATTTTATAAAACAACTTGATGAGAAAGATTCCTCCTTTGGTCCTGAGGCAGGTCAAACCACCTGTTCTTCCCTCACCATTCTGAAACTAAATTAACAAGAGCGATGAAAAAATAGGGAGGGATTTGCTCCATGACATAAACTCTGTAGAAGCAGATTTATGTTAGTAAAGAACACCTCTGGATCTGCAGCAGATCCAGAGCAGTGCCAGGAACTGTTCCTCTGTTCCCCTGCCACCCTGGCTGAAAGCAGAGGCTCTCGTGGCCATGGAGCTGAGGCCATGAAGTTCAAGAAGAGAGGATTTGGGTGCAGCCTCCAGTAGCTGTGTAGACATCAGTCAGACAAGGCAACAAAAAAAAATGATAAAGAGAACAGGAAGGAATTTCCATGTTGAAAGGTCAATGATTTTTTGGCTTGATTTTGTTCTAAAATGGAAAACTATATGAGCTCTTTTCAAATTGGCCCCAAACACTAAAATATTTTGTTATTGTTTTTCAGCACGAATACATTTTCCACAGGGCTCATATGTGCCCCACACATCTATTTTGGGACAAGACCTACAACATTACCCCTCTCCCTCCCCTGCTTTTTATGGTGCAAGCTCTTGAACTACAAGCTTTCCAAAACTCCAGCTACCGAAAACTATTTCTTACGTCCTGACAAACATTTTCTGACAGCTGGTCTATTGAATAGCTCATATTATTTTTGTGTGCTGTGCTATAAGCAATGCAGATGGTCTAGCTTAGTGATATTCCTCCATCAGTCAAGTTTTAGATTTGTTTGTTGTTGTTTTGTTTTGTTTTTAAAAAAAGACCTGATTGACTTTTTTTTGTTCCTATCCTGAGTGATTGAAACTCAGCACTATAATGAACCAAGTAAAGAGCTCAATGTCCTCTAATGTAGTTTTTGTCCTGAGGGGTGATGCTTGTTTGTTCGCTTTTTGACAAGACACATCATTATTTCATGGTGCAGTGTGCATTTGGTAGCATGAATAGATAACTATAAAATATATGCTTTTCAAAAATTGGCTTTTATCAAATGTTACTATTCAGTAGAGAATTTTATGCTTTGCTTTTTATAATTGTGATTTGTGGTCCCTTTCAGAAATGCATTTTTAATAAAGCAATAGCTCTTCCTAAAGTAACCTACATTATTCTTTCCAGTGCCTAATTTAATGCAAGGTAAATAAAAGGCTACATTTTTCATGGAAAGAGTAAAAAGTATGAGAGCAAAATGTATGCAAGAAAATAACAAAACATAGAGGTTTAAGCAAACATGTTATATTAATAGCATTTTTCTTGAAATATTTGGCACAATGATCTATTCTTAAAATTCACAGTAATTATACAATCCAATAGCACATTTATTAACCCAACTGTAAATTATGGTAGACTGTAATGGAGCTGTGATCTGTACAGTATTTTCTTCCTTTGCAGCACTCAAGGTTTTTGCTTTTGATTCACATCACATGAAACACATTCACCCTCATGTATACACAGGGGGAGATTACGTAAAGATCTCTCCAAAGAAGAGAGAGGAATCCCATCCTAATGGTAAGAAGCAAAGGTTAGAGAGTAGGTGGGTTAACAAAAAAATGGTTAAATGCACCCACTAGTAAATAACAAAATGTGCAGTTTACCAAGACTGAGCTTCAGCCCTGCTAACTACAGAGGAGGCAAGGTATTTTTATCACCATCTCTTCTATCCCCTTATTCGCTCAAGACTGATTTTTCTAACATTTCCAGTAGCACAGTGAGTATCCAGGGAGTTTTAACACTGGATATTGGTACCAGAAACCTGAGCTTTATCCTTTTCTCAGCCATAGATCTGCTGTGTGACTTTGGACTCGCCCCTCCAACTCTGTGTTACTCCTCCTCCAAAAACTGGTGCATCTTTTCTATTTAGAGACTAGCTCACTAGGGCAAGAACATGTATTCTTCAGTATCAAAACCAGCAGGGCCCAGATCTTGGCTTGGACCTCAGAGTGCTACAGAAATGGCTTACAACTAATGTCATCACTAAAAATAAAGAAATGTGTTTAAACAGCTCTGGAATTAAACCACCTGACCTAATAAACATAGAAAAGATTTATTTAAATCTTCCAGCTAATCTGAATCTCACCACCTATCAATACCTAAAAATGTGGCTTATCTTGGTACCAGGGAGAAAAATCATGACCTTTTTTTCAGATCAACACTACATCCTAAAATACCTTTTGCTTTCTTTTTCCCTATGTGTCTTCCATCCTGGCTCCACTGTAATGGAAGTCAAAGCAAGCCAGGTACTTCAGAGAGGCCCAGTATTTACCTCAGGTCTGAGCCATTTTAGTTTATGAGACCTGACACCACATGTGTAGCCAATTGCGGAACAGCAGGAAGCATATATTACTCTAGGAAAAAAAAAAAAAAAAGCATATATCTAATTAGAATTTCCAATGGAGCACACATTTTTATATCTAATGGCAGTTACATTGTTTTAAATAAAGCTATATTTCATTGTCTCTAAAACATTTTTATAAGTATTCCACAAAGATTCCCTCTGTTTTGCATATTTTATGGAATAGCAGTAATAATGTCTATTGTTTATTGTTTCCTTAATGTCTTCAATTTTGTTCTTCTATAAAAACCCACAAACTACTAAACATGGTCTGTTTGATTGATAGGCACTGTTGCAGTTGTCTTTCTGCGGTATAGCAATATTGGTTCTTTGCTTTCATCACCTAAAAACCGCTCCTGGAAAGATACTTCAGAGCAGAGAGAGACAGTAAGCTCATCAGTTATAGCTGTTGCAATTAGCTCAAATCCACCTACTCTCTATGAGCTTGAGAAAATAACATTTACCTTAAAGTATACCAAGGTAAGGGGTTTTTTTATTATCAACTTCAAATAAAACAAAACAGTAGCTAATCATTTTATGTGATGTAACCATACCTTGAGACATAATTCTGTTGTTTGCTGATGTGAGTTTGTCATTTATTTCTCTAATAAGATTAATCTCAAATGTGGCATCCTAAGTGCAATACACTGAATATGATACAGCTGAAGATTGCTATGGAACTAAAGCAAGGGCAACAGTGGCATCTTTGCTGGGTTGTAGCAAGAATAAAATGTAAATGCCTGAATCAGAGAATATTACAGGATCCTGACTATTCTGTATTTAGGTGGGTTTTTTCCTGAAAGTTTATCAGATGGTTAAGCATGCATACCGAAAAAACTGAAGAAATGCTTCAAAGTTAGTGCAAAAAGTTAACCTGGAGCTAGGAAGTAATAGCAGAACCTATAGTATTGCAACTTAGTTATTTCTGAAATCTGAACACATTTATTTAAAACTGAGAGGTTTACTTCCAGTATATATAGATTTTGCTGGCTTCACTTATATGTGAAGAATCACCTTACGTGGCACAAAGAATTATCAGAAACAGAACAAGAAGTGACTCTGCAGGGAGGTGGGCAGTGGGACAAGGTGTTAACCTTGGTTATGTAGCTCTTAAATTTGTTACTTGCCTTCTAATATTTGAGCTAGAGATCACCTTTACATAAATTTGCATATATTTATACAGCCTCTAGTACAGTGGGGACCTTAGCTTTGACTAGTGTTAGTAAGCACTAATTGTAATAAATAATACTAATGGCCTTACTCATCACTGTCATCGCACCTGATATAGCAGGTGTGATATGACCCTAGCTTTATCCCAGATTACTTTGTAAAATGCACAGAATAAGTCTCAGTTTTTGAACTGCTCATTTGGAAGGGACTATGAGCAGGACAAGCAATGTTGCTGTAACCTTGGGGTTTAGTCCATGTTCA